TTCGGCCAAGTTATTATAACCTTAAAACAGTAGAAATCCTCAAGGGAGCTCAGCGCAAAAGCACTAAAAATGTAATTATTCATCAACAGTTAAAACCAATACACACACAGTACAGGAGGAGGAGGCTCCAGATCTTTGCAACAGAGTCACACCAGCTAGCTATCTTCCTTCCCTCTGTCAGGAATGGGCAATCTGTGCCACTTCAGATATTCTTGGACCGAAGATGACATCATCACTGACTGTGGGCCTGCTAGCTGGGGCAGGTGGGACAACATCTGGAAAGCCACAGATTCCCCTTCCCTGGTATATGTAAAGTAAAACTAAATGGAAATGGAATGAGCTACAAAGTGAGGATCAAACTGCACACAAAACACCAGGGCTGGGTGATGTATCAATACACAGTCCAAAATCGGTTGAAGACCACATCGTGATAACAGTTTCATAATATTTGACATGGCAATAAATCACAGGTCACGATGTGTGCCTGTGCTATGTAAAAATCATAATATGGGAAAAACCGTGAAGCTAGTCATCACTTCTCTCGTGATTCCTGCTGCCCCTGTTGTTCTGTATTATTTTTATTAAAAATGGTTGTAACAACAGGTTAAAGGCAAGTAAAAATGTGTCCGCTTTAGACCCTTAAGTCTATGTAAGTTACATATACTTATTTCAAACGCTGTGATATATCGGCATACCACAATGTTTAGTGGATGATATATCATGATGTTGAAAAGCAGGTATCACCCAGCCCTGACAGACATCTGCTCCAATCACATATAAATTGGGGGAGGGGGGGCACCTGAGAGAAAAGAGCTGAACCCTCCCTTTCATTCCCAGCAATCTCTCACCTGAACACTCCTTTCTCCTTCAGGCACCCCTTGTGGTGCCAGGGTCAGACCCACTCATCCCCACGTGGGACTTCATGGTGTCAACATATTTCAGAGATGTGTGACGTTCAGGAGGAAAGCTTATCGCAGCAGCAGATATTTCCCAGTGACCTACACCTCTGAGCTCAACCAGCAACCACTCTTTTACTTGCACACACAGCTGTATGCGGGTAGATATTTACAATTCCAGGAAAAAGCAATAGGGGTCCACAGCCACACAGCCCAACACACCTGCCCCCACCAACCAAACACAGGTCCATTGGCTCACCAGCACATGTAGACCAGAGAGTTTCACAAGCAGAGTGAAAGTACAAAGGAAAAGGCAGCACCGTACAGGGGAAACGGTTCTGCGTGTCTCACAAAGGAGTATCCGACTGCATACAAACCATCAAGCTCCCACACAAACACACACACACACCCCAGAGTCTCTATCTCATTTGACTGGGGGTGTGGGGGGGGCAAGGGGAGGGATTCCTTCAAACCTTTAATATCGTCCTCAAGGAGGCTCACAGTAAAAATAGAAAAGGTTATTAAGTATGGCCAGTGCTATAATCACACCGAGATACTTAATAAAGGTATTCCCAAAACAAAATTATACAGAGGATGTAGTGTTGCCCCACCCAACTTCATGCTTTTATGTTGTGGCAGTCCAGGATGACCCAAAAAAATGGGTGGAGTGAACACACTCACTTGTGGTGCAAAGGAGATCAAAGTTCTTCCTAACACAGCAAGCCATTATAAATGACTAGACACTGGAAGATAGCTCCTTTTTGTTGTTTCACACTCAGTGAGTTTCTTTACATCCCACAAATGGAATGTCTATATACAGTGTACCTCGGAATACCAGATCCTGAAACACTAGAAAATGGGCTTTGGCCTGATCTACATTTTCAGTTCTTTGGGGATATCCCACTCAGCACAGGGGCACACAGGCTGCCCTGATTAGGAGAAAGTTGCTGTCACTCACCCTTTTGACCCAAGAAAGAAAGAAGACAGTCTAGCAAGAAAAAAACCACCCATTTCCCTGGGCAACAATGCCCTCCTTTCTAGGAAACTCATCTCAACACACTATAACCCCTTGCAATGAAAAATACTGGGTGTCCCCAAGGCAGCAGATCAAAGCTGCATTAGGCCCAAGTTGCAGCCTTTGCTATATGTCATAACGGGTAAATATAATGGACAAGTCCCTGCCCTTCAGAGTTTGCCATCACAGGGGAGGCAAGAGACGAAGGGGAAGAAAATGGAGGCAGGGACAAACAAGGGAAGAATATGTATTTATTTCAGTTACAATATACTAAAGTCTTAGCTACGGTATACCACTTTTATAGTAGGGTAAGTCCCATGCCTTGCTAGAAGTATAACAAGTGGAAGCAGGCAGCAAGCAACCACAGAAAGAAGGGGAAAGAAAAGACTTTCAGCACATTGTTCTGGCTTGTGAGGAACCCACTGAAGAACTACCAACAATTCTGGCCAGACTATAATGTTTTAACCCCTCTGGAGTACAAGAAATAATCACAAATTAAATTAGATAGACCCTTACATATTTCTCATACCCTGGGGGTTAGTCATAGCTTTGTGGTACAGGATCTGCTTTCCATGCAAAATCCTGAGTTCAATTCCTAGCGGCTTCTCCGGGTAGAACCCATAGAGACTTGTCTAAAACCCTAGAGAGGCACTTGCTATGTCAGTGTGGACAATACTGAGCTATATGGTCCAACACTACAAGGTGGTTTCCGATGTTCACACCAAGAATTCCCTATATAGGATGCCTGGGAGGTTGCCTGCTCCTGAGGGGGGTACTCTCCCTCTGAAGGAGCACGTAGGCAGTTTGGAGGTACTTCTGCATCCATTGCTGTCACTTGAGGCTCAGGTGGCCTCAGTGGCCTGGAGTGCCTTCCATTGACTTGGCTGATGGCCAAGCTGTTCCCTTATCTGGACAGGGATAGCCTAACTTCTGTCCTCTATGCTCTGGCAACCACTAGGTTAGCTTACTGCAACACATTATACGTGGGGCTGCCTCTGAAGATGGTTCAGAAATTACAGCTGGTGAAGAACTTGGCAGCCAGATTACTCACCGGGACAAGACGGTTTGAGCATATTACACCAATCCTGGTCCGACTGCGCTGGCTGCCAATGCGTTTTCGGGCCCGATTCAAAGTGCTGGTTTTGTCCTATAAGCCTTAAATGACTCAGGACTGCAGTAAGTCAAGGACTACCTCTCCTCATATGAACCAACTAGGACCCTGTGATCATCATCTGAGGCCTTTCTTCATGTGCCTCCTCTATGAGAGGTCCAAAGGGCAACAACATGAGAACAGGCCTCTTTTGTGGTAGCCCCCGTTTGAGGAATGCTTTCCCCAGGGATGCTCACCTGGTGTCTTCATACACTTTAGGCACCAGGCAAAAACATTCCTATTATCTCAGGCCTTTGGCTAATTAAGCAATATATGGCCTTTAAACTGTGGGGGTAATGTTTTTGTTTGTTATTATGGAATGCATTTTGTGTCTCTATATTGTAAACGGCCCTGTGATCTTTGGGCAGAGGGTGGTATAGAAATTTAAATAATAATAATTAATCTTTGCGTTCTCTCTCCTCACACAGGCTCCTCCATCACATATTGCACAAGACTCATATTTGCCTGCTATATTTATTTACTCAGCAGCAGCTTGCCCTGCGCAGCCTTCTTTAGAGGCAAGCACATGCCCTGGAACTGACACCAATAGCTTCCTTTTATTTATATAGATAGTATTTCAATTTTACAGTAGTTATTATTTGTATGCCTAGCTGTACTTTTAGGTCAAAGACCTTCAGGCACACTGCTATTTAGGCAAAATAGTTTCAGAAGGAGATGGGTACGAGGGGGGTTTGTGTGCTCAACCGCATGTGTGAACACATTAATTACACTTTTTTAAAAAATTCACCGAAGGAAAATTAGGGACTGAGCTTGAGGTCCAGAAAACAGAGCTGTTGCTGGGACCCCTCCTCCATCCCCACAATTATACTCTGGTCATAGTGCTTTTCTCTCTGCTGAGTTGTATTAACACCACCTTTAACATTTGTTTCATGTTTTATGTTTGACGTTTTTGGATTTCACTGCCGATGTTGCAAACCATTCCAGGCACACAGGACAAACAGGCAAAGACAAAGAAAAACACACTCTGAAGTGAACAGGGGCAAAGAGGTAGGCAAGTCAGACATCATGCATGCATAAGGCAATACAGCACACTGAACAGTGGCAGGATAAGAATATGCAAATCCCTTTTTAAAATAGAAAGAAAAAGAATAAAGGTGGAGAGGCAATTGATTTGGTACCCAGGGCTACAGAAGGCCCTGGGAAAGCGCATAGCTCGGTAGGCAAAGCACCTGCCTTGCATGCAGAAGGCCCTTCAGCCTTTCTCAACCTGTGGGTCCCCAGATGTTGTTGAACTACAACTCCCATCACCCTTAGCTAGGAAGGCCAGAGCTCAGGGATGATGGGAGTTGTAGTCGCAACAACATCTGAGGACCCACAGGTTGAGAACCGCCTAAGTTCACCCCCTGCTCAGCATCCCCAGGTAGTGCCGGGAGAGACAGACACAGGCCCCCGCCTGATACCCTGGAGTGCCGCTGCCAGTCCGTGCAGGCAATACTGGGCCGAGTGAGCCTGTGGCCTGACTCAGAACAAGGCAGAAGAGCCGTAGCCTAATGGTTAGCGCACCCCAGGCCCAACCCCCACGTGGCATCTCCAGGGAGGGCTGGGGAGACCCCGGAGAGCTGCTGCCAGCCCGTGCAGGCAACGCTACGCTAGATGGGGCGGCGGCCTGGCTCGGTGTGAGGCAGCTTCCCGGGGGCAACTGGGGCGGGGGGGTCGAAGCCCACCGGGGTCCTTTCCCCCCACACACCCGCGACCCAGACCCAGCCCTAGAGCCAGCCGGGGAAGGCAACGCGGGGAAAGGCGACCCGCCCAGCCCCGTGGCCACAAGCGGCGGCGCCCCCCACCCGCAAACGGGCAATGAGCACCCCCCCACCCTGCCCCTCACTCACCTGCCCCAAACTCCCCACTCGCATCACTGAGGAGCCTTCAAAGGTTCCCCCACTTCCTGCCTCCCCTCTACTTCCGGGTCAGGCGTGGCTCTACGGGCAGCGGCAGGGCCCAAAAACCCGCGGGGCGCGAAGCCGCACCTCGCCGCGCGAAGGTTCGAGGAGAGCGCGCAGGCGCGAAGTCCCGCTGGCCTGGGGTGGCCTCGGCGGCCGGGCGCCCCTTGCAAGCGGACATTACCGTATTCCCTCGAAAGCAGGGGCTGCCCAGCTCGCTTCGTTTGCACGTGCGTTTTTGTATTTATTTACTTAGCTTCTATCGGTTTATTTGTGCGTTTACGTTTATTTCGTTAGCTTCCAGTTATATATGTATATGCTTATTATTTATTAATTGTCTATACGTGTTCGGGTGTCTGTGTTTCTATTAATATATATAGTTAGCTTAGGTTGGTTGGTTATATATTTATTTACAGCCGCCTTTTTTCCCCCCTGACAGGGACTCGAGGTCGTTTACCGATTACAACCAAGAACCGCTAAAAACAAAAGAAAAAACCATCGTTGAAAAAGCAAGCTTTTGTTTGTTTAAATTAAATGCATTTTTTGAACTGCTTAATATTTATTTTTATTTTATTTTTAAAGAAAAAGCGCCCAAGCAGTTTGCAAAAATAAGTTATGAAGGGCCTAAATAATAGAGATAACCAGATACATTTTCCAGGAATAAGTCCCTTTAGATCCCCCAATATGTTTGCTGAGGATCCTTGTTTATTGTTTATGGACTACAAGTTCTGTGTGTCTTAATGTCTGCAAGGCGTGTGTTTGCTACAGCATGGAAGAATGTCCCGAAACAAAAATAAATTAGACACCACTAGGAAAACGTGGGAGTAGCTGAATGTGGTTAAACTAACAATGTTGAAGGATAAGAAAGAACATGTGGGAGTGTCGAATCAATGGAATCCGGTGAGTGTGCGTGTGAAAGAAAACAGGGAATATCCAGAAGTGGAGCAGAATATTTGTTACTACAACCGATGACTGAAGATCTATGAATGTAGCACCTTGACAAATTCTTTTTTAGGGTGTAAAGCACATGAGCAAAGTACATGACTTAGGTATCAGTTATGTGAAGAAAAACATGTTGAATGTTGTGCAGCTCTGATCACATTTTGACAAATTATTATCATTATTATTTATTAAATCTGTATACTGCCCTTCAGGGCAGTTCGCAACATAAAATCACGATAAATCACAAAAATACATCACAATCACAAAATACATAATAACAATGAAATCAAGGCAGACCCAATCATTTCCACTTCCACAACACATTTAAAGGGGCATTGAATGACAATCAACCAAAAGCCTGGTTAAAGAGGAACGTTTTTGCCTGGCGCCTAAAGGTGTGTAATGAAGGCATCAGCCGAGCATCCCTGGGGAGAACATTCCACAAACGGGGAGCCACTGCAGAAAAGCCCCTGTTCTTGTGTTGCCACCCTCTGGACCTCTTGTGGAGGAGGCACATGAAGAAGGGCCTCTGATGATGATCAGAGGGTCTGGGTCAGTTCCTATGGGGAGAAGTGGTCCTTGAGGTATTGCAGTCCTGGGCCATTTAAGGCTTTATAGGTCAAAGCCTGCACTGAATTGGGCACAGAAACTAATTGGCAGCCGGTGGAGTCGGACCAGGATCCGTGTAATATGCTCAAACCGTCTTGTCCCAGTGAGCAACCTGGCCATTGAATTCTGTACCAGCTGAAGTTTCTGAACTGTCTTCAGAGGCAGCCCTACATATAAAATATTGCAGTAATCTAACCTAGAGGTTACTAGAGCATTGTTGTTGTTTAGTCGTTTAGTCGTGTCCGACTCTTCGTGACCCCATGGACCAGAGCACGCCAGGCACCTCTGTCCTCCACTACCTCCCGCAGTTTGGTCAAACTCATGCTGGTAACCTCGAAAACACTATCCAACCATCTCGTCCTCTGTCGCCCCCTTCTCCTTGTGCCCTCCATCTTTCCCAGCATCAGTGTTTTCTCCAGGGAGTCTTCTCTTCTCATGAGGTGGCCAAAGTACTGGAGCCTCAGCTTCACGATCTGTCCTTCCAGTGAGCACTCAGGGCTGATTTCCTTCAGAATGGATGCGTTTGATCTTCTTGCAGTCCATGGGACTCTCAAGAGTCTCCTCCAGCACCAGAATTCAAAAGCATCAATTCTTCGGCGAATAGCCTTCTTTATGGTCCAGCTCTCACTTCCATACATCACTACTGGGAAAACCAGAGCTTTTACTATACGGACCTTTGTTGGCAAGGTGACGTCTCTACTTCTCAAGATGCTGTCTAGGCCTGTCATTGCCCTTCTCCCAAGAAGCTACTACTACTACTACTAGAGCATAGACAGTAGTTAGGCTATTCCTGTCCAAATAGGGGCGTAGCTGGGTCACCAGCTGAAGCTGATGGAAGGCACTCCAGGTCACTGAGGCCACCTGAGCCTTGAGCGACAGCAAGTGATCCAGGAGGACCCCCAAGCTATGTACCCGATCCTTCAGAGGGAGAGTAACCCCATCAAGAGCAGGCAACCTGCCTGACATCCAATCTAGGGAACTGCCCACTAACAGTGCCTCCATCTAATCTGGATTGAACTTCAGTTTGTTAGCTCTCATTTGGTCCATTAGTGAGGCATTAGTGAGGAAGTCCAGCACTTCCACTGCCTCACCTGCCGATGTAAAGAAGAAGTAGAGCTGTGTGTCATCAGCATATTGCTGACAACATACTCCAGAACGCCAGATAATCCCACTCAATGGTTTCATGTAGATTTTAAGCAGCGTAGGGCATGGGTAGGCAAACTAAGGCCTGGGGGCCGGATCCAGCCCAATCGCCTTCTAAATCCGGCCCACGGACAGTCCAGGAATCAGCGTCTTTTTACATGAGTAGAATGTGTGCTTTTATTTAAAATGCATCTCTGGGTTATTTGTGGGGCATAGGAATTCATTCATATACTTTTTTCAAAATATAGTCCAGCCCCCCACAAGGTCTGAGGGACGGTGGACCAGCCCACGGCTGAAAAGGTTTGCTGACCCCTGGCGTAGGGGATAAAAATGAACATGAGGAACTCCACACTGAAGGCTCCATGGAGCTGAAGAGCATTTCCCAAGCATCACCCTCTGGAAATGACCATCCAACTGAGTCTACCTAGCAATACAACTCTCTGGTCTTTATCCTCTTCGTGTTCTAACTAGCAGCCATGCATAGCTATGTTTGGCTGCCATCTCCTACTGTGATATTGTCGTGCTTCAAACATATGGTACAGATGTAGCCACAGCCTTTGGAAGAGCCAGACTCTGCCTCCCATTCCGCAAAGTGCTCAATTGCATGAAGAAAGATCTTTTGTGGCCTCACTCAGCTTCAGCCTGAATATGATGGCTCCGTGCCCTGAAATCCTGAAGGGAGATCAAGGTTCTAGTCCCTAGCTGGCCACAGGCTCCTCCCCACACACCTGGAAAGCCAACTTGGATGGCTAGCTGGCTTCCATACAGTAAAACAAACAGAAGCTGCCAACGATTCAGATTAGGACACTTGCCTCTGGCCAGGGAGCATCGCATATGAGAAGCTTCTTTCCTGGCAAAGATAAGTAATGTGCAAGTGGTGCCACCTGGATCTTAATCATCTGTGGCTGAAGCATGTCCACCACTGTGATGCTCCCTTCCATGTGTGCTTCGTAAATGTAAAGGCATAAAGGTGGTCACTAGTGCAAAACAATGAAACCTCCTCATCTGAGTACCTGTGGGATCAATTGCACTCTGCAGAGCAGCTATTCTTGGAAACATTTTCAAGGAAACTACAAATCATGTCATTTTAGTGTGTGACGCAATACGGTATATTTCTATCAATACAGCAATACACTGTATTTCTATCACTTTTTAAGTAAAAAAAAGAAACCATTTGGATTTAAATGTTGTTGTGTTGTGTTGCGTTTTTGTTTTTGAGCTACTGTCAAACCACCCAGTTAAGTACAACTACTATGCAAGTAATCATTAGAACATTGATTGTAGCTTGTATTCATGTTGCTCTGCTGCCCCACCCAAACTATTTCCTTTAAATGAACAGGGCCTTTACATTGTTTATATATATATATATATGAGGCTTTTATACCCTTATATATATATAAGGCATTATAGCAGAAGAATGTTCTCAGAGCAACTTACAAAATTCAGGACAAAAAACGATCCCTGCCATGACACACAAAGAAAAGAGAATGGGGAGGGTAGAGGAAAAAAGCAAGCTCAAGGACAAGTTCTTAAAGGAACAGTTATTCTATATCGCCCTGTCCATGCTCATTCTGGCTAACTAGAAGAACAGCAGCTCCTCATCAGTGTCTGTAGGGAGGGTGCTAGGATGGCTGGGGTCAATCAGTCATACAGTCCAAAGCATTTGAAGTGCACCAGGTTCAGGAAGGCTGCTTTAGAGGGAGTTGTGGGGGAAGCACAAACTTGGCCACTCCACCGTCTCTCCTGCAACAGGCTGAGCTCTGCAAGCCAGCTCCGTGGCACACGGGTGTGGACTACATAGGAATCAGAGAACTGTGGAGTTGGAAAGGACAACGAGGGTCGTCTAATCCAACCTTCAGCAATGCAGGAATTGTTTGCCCAACATAGGGCTCAAACCCACAATCCTGACAATAAAAGTCTCACACCCTACCATCTGAGCTATCCTAGCTTTTAGAGCCTCCTGGATCAGGCCAGTGGCCGACCTAGTCCAGCACCCTGTTCTCACAGTGGCCAACCAGATGCCTCTGGGCATTGCTTTTATATATATATATATATATATATATATATATATATATATATATATACACAGTGGTACCTCTCAAGACGAATGCCTCGCAAGACGAATGCCTCGCAAGACGAAAGGGTTTTTGGTTTTTTGAGTTGCTTCGCAAGACGAATTTCCCTATGGGCTTGCTTCGCAAGACGAAAACGTCTTGCAAGTTTGTTTCCTTTTTCTTAAAACCGTTAATACAATTGCGACTTGACTTCGAGGAGCAACTCATAGCATGCGGTGTGGAAGCCTTTTTTGAGGTTTTTGAAGACTTTGGTGATTTTTGAAGCTTTTCCAAAACTTTTCCGACACCGTGCTTCGCAAGACGAAAAATTCGCAAGGCGAAAAAACTCGCGGAACGAATTAATTTCGTCTTGCGAGGCACCACTGTGTGTGTGTGTGTGTGTGTGTGTGTGTATTATTGGTTTTCAAATACAAAACAAAATTATACACTCCATACATCTTAGTTGCATCTTATTTCTCTTTTTTCGACTTCCCTCAACTTGTCTGCAAATCCTTCATATTTTAACTTTTAACACATTTCTATTTGGTTGTTTATATTATTACTATGAACTTCATCCCATTTTAATACTTATTATAACATTCCCATCACAGCGCTTCATTAAAACTTACAAACGTAATCTGATTATCACTTAATTTTTGCAAATATTCAATAAATTTCCCCCAATCTTCTGTGAATCTTTGATCTTGTCGGTTTCGGATCCTTCCTGTCATTCTGTTCAGTTCTGCATAGTCTATCATTTTTGTTCTCCACTCTTCTAACGTAGGTAGCTCCTCTTGTTT